TTTGCACAGCGTCCGATGTAAGACCGGGAACGGTTGTGCAAAGGCAAATAACGCGTGCACGCCGACTGCGAGAAACAAGAACACGGTGGTTAGGTAAACTGGCCGAGCAGCATTCGCAATCGCCTAATTCGATTCACTTAATCTGAGCACCGGTGAAGGCTTCCTGCCGCAGACGTCCAGTTGCTCTAACGCTACTTCGCGTGATTGAAACTCGTCATCGATTTGGACGCGTTACGTGCACCCAGTCGATCGTTCCTTCAAACCCGTGATTCGCAGTTGAGGATTTCTTACAGACAAATTACTTAGAAGATTCGTTTAAAGTTTCATAGGTGTAAACTTTTCTGACTTAATTTTGTAAGCGACGTCGGAGGTATTAACCCTTTGCACTCGAGTGGCGACTCTGGGGCGCCGCTAAAATTGTCGCATCGCGTTCCGAGATCATGTTAAAAGTGTAACTGTTGCACGAGTCGCCGCAAGACTCAATTTCATATGCACGAAGTTCACTAATATGGAATTTTATTCGCATAAAATGGAAATACTGTAAGTTAGAAAAATTATTTTATTTTGGCTTCGAGCGCAAAGGGTCAATCCCCAACAGTTCAGTGTAACTTTCACAAGTGACGCACAGGCATATCAGGTTTCTCAGCCAAATTTAATTTTTAGCAACAGCGAAGTAAAAGTGCTCTGTTATTTCCCCCTCGTAATCGGAAACCTTATGCACACTGTAATTTTCAACATTCGCTCGACGCGCCGCAACAAATGTTTGTTCTTAAATTGCGAACTCCACGTTAATTTACACCTCGATCTTGATATTCGACGCTTTCGAGTTGTATAAATTTTATGGCGTATTAAATCAGTGCATTTGTGCACAGCAAAGCGCGTCGAAATTCGAGCAAAATTTCAGCTCACTTGCATTCTTGCAATTTACTAAATTTCAGGAAACTAAATGAACGTTATACAATAAATAAATATATTATATATATTATTATATTATTATATTATATTATACTATTATATTATATTATATTATATTATATTATATTAT